ATTATTCGTCAACATGCTATCAGGCATGGATCCGGTGGTTCGGGAGAGTATTGTGGTGGCAATGGTGCAGTCCGCGAAATTGAAGCTCGAGTACCCTTGAAATTCAGCATCTTAAGTGACCGCCGAGTCTATCATCCCTACGGTATGAACGGAGGCCAGCCAGGCGATGTAGGCAGAAATTACGTTTTCAAATGGAACGAAGACAAGACTGGCCTTGAAAAGCTTTCCATAGGTGGCAAAGCTGCTCTAGGCTTTGATGCTGGGGAAATCATGCAGATAAATAGTCCAGGAGGCGGAGGTTGGGGAAGTGTACGGCCACATCAATCAGGGCTAAAAGTGGATGGGGATGAGCCCAAACCCTAACTAAACCCTATCCGACTCAGCTACATAATGGCAGCCTCACCTTTTCCCCCGCCTTGACTTTCTCGGCTATGCTGGGGTTTGTCCTAACCTTCTAGAGACTAGTATCAATTTTAGATGGTACCTTTTGTGCTACGCCTATGGTTAGTCAACAATGCCTGACTAGTTATGCATGTTCTGGCCCCTCAGCCGCGCCAACGCACGGAGTAAGACCAAATCTCGCAGTAAGACTTCTCACCCACCTTGAACATCCTCCATAGCCATGTCTTCGTGAAGGACAACTTCAGCCTCTTTATATCAACTCTGTAGAAATTACTATCAGGATGCGTCAGGAGCTAAAGGCCTGGGGAAGAGACGTGAAATCCCGTCTGCGCCACAGACCCAAAACACCCCAGCCTAGCAAAACAGGGATCCAGGCTGACCCCACATCTTTGACTCCTGCTTCACCCGCAATCAACCAACATAACATCAACCAAGCCCAGGATTTATGGCAATCTGCATTTTATCAGCTAGACTGGAAGCAACAGCAGACATTGTCCACATTAAAATACGCTCCAACCCAACTAGGAAGCGACAGCGACCAGAATGGACATTCCCCAACCGAGGCCATAATTGAGAAAGTCATTCAGGGGACCAAACAACAATATGAAGAATACCAAAACGGGGGTATAAAGATCCGGAGGTCAACGGGCGAGGACATTGATCTTCGAAAGCTTTCACGTAACATAATTGATGCGGCGCTATCCTTCAAAGACATTGTTAGTGCCGTGGTGGCTTTTGATCCTAGTTGTTATGCCGCAAGCGCTTGGACTGTTGTCTCGCTTGGTTTGACGGTAAGCTATTGTGAAGTGCGAATTACTAGACAGCAAACCTAATAAGGAACCCAAAACCTATAGATGACCCAAAACCGACTTGACCTGCGCGATGCCTTGTTTGATTCTTCAGAGTATCTGGCAGATGTTCTTGCCCGGTGTGCCTATGTTGAGAAGGCAATCTACCGCAACGATGCTGAGAAAAAGGCCGAAGTAGGACGCGCACTCATTAGTGTCTATAGAGTCATACTCCAATACGCAGCAGAGGTATTAACTGCTCAACAGTCCGGTATTGGGAGATGGATACAGGACACTATCACTGGAATCACCAAGCAACGTCTCGGGGAGCTTCAATCCTCTGTCAAAGAACAAGAGCAATATTTGCATCAATGGGTTCAGATGGACCAACACTTGCGCCATAACGAACAAGCGGAGCTGCTTTTAAGCCAATGTGACAGAATCATAGAGTCTGTTCAAGTGCTCATCCAGAATTTCGGCCTTCCCATCGCAGAGGGAGCTAGTTATGACTCATATGATAATCAACATGAAGACAAATGTCTTCCTGAGACCCGGACTGAGCTTCGTCATCAGATCACCGATTGGGCCGGGTCGCCGGAGGGTGAATGCATATTTTGGTTGAACGGCATGGCAGGCACTGGAAAGTCCACTATTGCCCGGACAGTCGCACAGTCCTTGAGAGAAAAGGGGCTGCTAGGAGCAAGCTTCTTTTTCAAGAAGGGTGAGGCGGAGCGTGGCAATGCCAAAAGGCTTATATCAACGGTTGCAAAGCAATTGATTACCAGTAAGCGTCAGTTAGCACCAGGTATCCTGGCAGCGATTCAGAGCGATCCGGATATTGCCTCAAAAGCCCTCAGCGAACAGTTTGACAAGCTTCTTCTTCAGCCACTAGTAAACCTGAGACTAGATGAGCCTACATCCACGGTGATTGTGATTGACGCATTAGATGAGTGTGAACAAGAAGAGGACATAAGAGTTCTTCTAGATATCCTGCCACAAGTGCAGAATTCCAAGTCTTTACATTTGCGGATCTTGTTGACAAGCAGACCTGAACTTCCCATTCGGCTTGGCTTTCAGCATCTGGAACATCAGGACTTGGTGCTTCATGAGCTTCCCCGTCCAGTGATTGAACGCGATATACGGCTATTCCTCCAGGATCGGCTGGGGAAAATACAGAAGGAGCATTCACTGCCCCCTGGCTGGCCGGGTGAGGATATCACGGAGACTTTAGTGTCTAGATCCGTTCCTCTCTTTATCGTCGCCTCTACCATGTGTCGCTTTATTGGGGAGAAATATCAGGTACCGGAAGATCGTCTTGACGCAGTCCTCAACGATTCAGCCTCTACATCTGGCTCGCAGATGGAGAGGGTCTACCTACCGATATTGAACAAACTAACGGGAGAGGCTGAGATGAGCAACTTTGCAAAAGAGCTACAGGATTTACTTGGGGTTATTATTCTTCTTGCAGCGCCCCTTTCAGTTCGGGCTCTCGCACGACTTGTTAATAGTCAGGAAAGAAAACTCCACTCTCGCTTAGCCGCATTTCACTCCGTTGTTAGTGTACCTGACGACTGTGATGCACCGGTCCACATGCTACACTTATCCTTCCGGGAATTTCTTCTTAACACAACGAGTATTTTCCATGTCAACGAAAAGGGATCACACCGGAAGATAGCATTACACTGCCTTCGCGTCATGGAAACTGGTCTCAAACACAATATTTGTGGTCTACCAAGTTATGGCACACAGCTTGCAGAAATTGATAGTCAAAGTATTGATAATTGTCTCTCAGCAGAGCTGCAGTACTCCTGCCGCTACTGGGCGTATCATCTCAATCAAGGCAAAGATCAGGTATATGAAACTGAAGTGCTTACATTCCTAAAAGGACACTTTCTTCACTGGTTGGAGGCGATGAGCTTGATGGGTTTATTATCGGATGTGGTCAATATACTAAACACACTATGGTCAACAGCACAAGTAGGTTAATATATTCCGTTTGGAACAATGACTGATGAAAATATAGAGCAATTTATATTCCGAGCTTTCATCATTCTTGCGTGATGCAAAGCTTTTTGTACTCAGAATTATTTACATCTGCACTGATTTCCCACTCCAGCTATACTGCTCTGGGCTTGCGTTCTTGCCGCCAAGCAGTATTATTCACAAGACATTTCAAGAAAGCCAAAGATGGGTGCATATTCTACCACCAGCCGAGGGTTCTCGGAGCGCGGAGCTACAGAGCCTGAAGGGCCATTCCGATTGGGATCAATCGGGGGTCTTCCCACCAAATGGCCAGATAGTGGCCTCCGACTCCAAGGATAACACCATCAATGCCTGGGACTATTCCAACTCAGTTGTGTCGGTGGCCATTTCACCGAACGGCCAGATGATTGCTTCCGGCTCCAAGGATAATACTATTAAGCTTTGGGATCCTAATACTGGTCAACAACTGCGAGTCCTGGAGGGTCATTCTGACTCAGTTGCGTCAGTGGTCTTTTCATTAGATGGCCACATGATCGCTTCAGGTTCCTATGATCGCACTATCAAACTCTGGGATAGCAAGACCGGCCAACAGCTACGCACGTTAGGCGGTCATTCTGACTCAGTTGTGTCCGTAGCTTTCTCACCGGATAGCCACTTAGTTGCCTCTGGCTCCGACGATAATATTATTAAGCTCTGGGACAGCAATACTGGTCAGCAACTACGCACCATGAGTGGTCATTCTGACTGGGTTCAATCAGTGGCCTTCTCACCAGATGGTCAGGTAATTGCCTCCGGCTCGTATGATAATACTATTATGCTCTGGGACACCAAAACTGGTCAGCATCTGCGCACCCTGAAGGGCCATTCTAGCCTAGTTGGCGCGGTGGCCTTCTCACCCGATGGCCTTATGATAGCGTCTGGGTCCTATGATAAGACAGTTAAACTCTGGAATACTAAAACAGGTCAACAAATGAGCACCTCGGAGGGCCATTCTGGGATAGTTCGATCGGTAACCTTCCTTCCAGACAGCCGGACAGTTGCCTCTGGCTCTTATGATAGCACCATTAAGCTCTGGGACACTAAAACAGGCCTGGAAGTGCGCACCATAGAGGGTCATTCTGGTCCGGTTCGGTCAGTGGCCTTTTCACCGGATAGTTCAATGATTTCTTCCGGCTCCTACGACAACACTATCAAGCTCTGGGATGCCAAAACCGGTCAGCATCTGCGCACTCTGGGGGATCATTCTAGCCCGGTCACCTTTTCACCGGACAGCCAGACGGTAGAATCAGATTCCCTGCTCTCCGTGGAGGATCACTGGGTGACCTTTGCATCTGAGAAGGTGTTATGGCTCCCTTTCGATTATCTTCCATTTTCCAGTTCCGCGGCCAAGGGGAATACACTTGCCCTTTGGTATGCAGATGGACGAGTCTGTGTCTTGGAGTTTCGTGCACCTACCGCGTAGTCATTTGCATTTCATCTCATTTCTCTATTTTCTAGACTCTGGGTACGGAGGAACACGATAGAGGCCATCCCTACGGTTTGCACAGAGGACAAGGCGGGTAGTATGGGTAGAAAGTCCGTCTTCAAATGGAACTGTTACAATACCATCCCTAAAAAGCTCTACATAGGTGGAAAGGGTGCTTTAACCATGGATCCCGAGGATATCAGGTAGATAAGTAGTCCAGGGGTGGAGGTTGATGAAGTGAAAAATCATGATTTGAAATAGTTAGGGCTGAATATTGGACGATTGAAGAGCAGCTATTCCCATTGTATCATATACATACAGGCTACATAACTCTGGCATAGGCTTACCATTCTGTACACATTCGCTGTGTGGCAGAATTGGTTACCTACCGCGTCTGACTACGAATCAGGAGGCTATAGGTTAGAATCCTATCATGGCTATTATGTTTTTTCTTCTTTTTACCACTAGTTTTATTTTGCTCTTAGCAATAAATCCTTGTTAACACTTACTTTAAAATACTATAATAACAACACCAAAGTTAATGCAATCTATAAAATAGGAATTGTTAGGCTATTCATTCTGTCGGTTATTGAAATACTACATTAATACAAATATTAGAATATCGCCTCAAACAAGCAAAAGTAGCATAATTGAGAACTTTGAACCCAGAGAGAGAACCCCTATTTCTTCTTGCCAGTTATGCCAAGAGCGTCAGTGATAGAGCTTAAGCCCAGACTATCAAGCAACTTGTCAAGGCCCAAGCCGCCGAGCAAGCGATTCACGAGAGGGACCAAACCGAGACCCTCAAGTAGACGACCAACAAGCCCAAGCACGCCAGTCAGCAGCAAGCCTACAGCGGCAATGATCTGGAACAAGGGCTCGCTGAGAAGGGTCCAGAGGGGGTTGAGCTGTTTCTTCGCATGAGGCATGTCGGCGATCTTCTTTTTACCGTTCTCGATGCAACTAACGACGGTATCTGTCATTTCCTTGATTTGATCGGCGAGAGCATACTCTTCGGGAGATGCTTCGTGTGAAGCAGCGCGAGCCTTCGCTGTAGCTGCGATACGACCATCTGGATCAAGAGCTCGGATAGCGCCGTTGCATTCTTGGAGGATTCGGCCTCCCTCTTCAAGCAGGGGCTTGACATCCTTTACCAGTCTTTCCTCATCCAATTCCTCTTTCGGGGTACGCTCGGCTCTCTCAATGTGCTAGTACATGTGTTAGCGAATCTCTGATACGAAAGCTATACCATTCCTTAGCGTACCTCTGTAATCATCTTGCAGATCGGTCGAACACGATCCAAGGTTTGTCCGATAATGGCGCTCATCTTCTTGGCCAGCTGTTTATCTTCTTCGGCCTTCTTCTGCTCCTCGAGCTCTTCTGGCGACGGGCCTGGCTCCTCCTCGACGACCTCTTCCTCCTTCTCCTCCGGGATATTCTCGATCAGGGTACACTCGCCAAGCTTGTTACCATCGTTGTCAACGACAAAGCCATTATCATCGATCTCCTTGCCAACAAGAGTAGCCAAGTTGCCGGAGGTCAGCTTTCCGATGAGGTTGCCGTCAACATCACGCACTTCACCTTCGCGGGTAACCTTGCGGCCAGCCATAGGGTTGACACTTCGTTGCTTCTCCTCCGGCTCCCAGCGTTCTGCTCGGCCGATAGTGTTTCCATTCTTGTCCAAGATGTCTCCATCTTCATCGACCTTGCGTCCCTGGAGTCGCTTGGCATCACCTTCGATGACACGGCCAATAATCTTGCCACCAGAAGTGACTACGCCATCCTTCCCAACTTCCGCGTCATCAAAGCCGAAGAAGGGACCTTCGGGCTTCTCTTGCTCAGCGCCAGGGACAAGCTCGGCTCTACCAATGACCTTGCCATCGTCACCCCAGATCTGGCCTTTGCCGTCAACCTTCCGTCCAGCAAGTCGCTTGTCACCCGAGGTGATTCGACCAAAGACGTTTCCTTGGGCATCCACGACATTGCCGGCCTTATTGACGGTTTTACCTTCTAAGATTGACAAGTCTTCTTCTACTACCTCCTCTTCTGGAGGCTCGTATGGCTCGGCATGTCCCTTGACATTACCAAACTTGTCGATAATGTCTCCATCCTCATCCACAGTGCGCCCGCGCAAGTTCTTCAATTCGCCTTCAGTGACCTTGCCGACGATGTTACCATCGGTGTCCTCGACGAATCCTTCCTTGTTCACGACCAGGTTCTCCAGGCCAGCGAATGGGCCTTCAGGCTTCTTCTCGCGCTCGTTCTCGGGAATGAGCTCAACGCGTCCGATGGGCTTGCGACCGTCCCAGATCTGGCCATCATCGATTTCTTTACCGGCCAGCTCCTTAGGGTTTCCTTCCACGACACGTGCAATTGGAACTCCGTTAGGTCCCATAACGTATCCTAGTTTGTTGCAGGTCAATCCGTCCAGTTTCGATAGGTCGACCACCTCAGGCTCCTCAGGCTCCGGCTCATCCGGCTGCTCATAGTATTCGGCCTTTGCGACGACATTTCCATGTTGGTCAGTGACCTCTCCATCTTCGTCAACAGGGCGACCGAGGACCTTCTTAGGTTCACCCTCAACAATCTTGCCGACACGCTTGCCCTTGCTGTCCTCAACCCATCCGTCCTCGACGACATGGAGGCCATCTAAGCCGGCGAAGGGAGGCTCATCACTGTAATCCTGCTGAGGAAGTGTTTGAGCACGCCCAATCACATTTCCACGGTTATCCCAGAACTGGCCCTGATCATCGAGTGTCGCACCAAGCCGAGTAAGCTTCTTCGGATCGCCCTCGACCAGTTCACCGATTGGCTTTCCAGTCGATGGGTTGATGATCTTGCCCAGCTTGTTGCATTTCAAGCCCTCAAGTGTAGAGAGGGGAGGCAGCTGCTCTTCGGTGCCATCGACTTTCTCGTCCACCATGTCTTCGATATCCTTCGTGGCGGAATCAGCCTTGTCCAACTCTCCGGTTGCTTCCTCGCTGGCACTCTTTCCAACACTCTTGGTGCCGTGAGAATCCGACTTTTGAGAATCAGCAGCACTTCCAGCAGCACTTGCAGCCTTGGACACAGGCTCGACCCGTCCGACAAGGTCGCCTTCATCGTCAAGGATCTCACCTTTCTCGTTAGGTGCGTACCCAACGAGATCCTGACCATCCCCTTCCACGACCTTTCCGACGGTCTCACCAGCCTCATCCTTGATGAAACCCCCCTCAGACACCGGAATACCATTCATGTCAGCAAGACCACCGATAGCCTTCTTCGCCTGGTCCGTATTCTCCTGGATCGCCTCCGGAAGAGCCTCAACACGACCAATCAAGTCGCCATCATCATCCAGAATCTCGCCATTATCCCCAACAGCGTATCCAGCAAGATCCTGAGGCTCACCTTCCACAATCCGACCAACAGGATTCCCATCATCACCCAGCACCTGACCCCATTCACTAACCTCAAGCCCCTTCAAGAACGACAAATCAACACCGGTCGCGTTCGCGACGGTCTGCTCACCCCTCCTCGTCAACCCCCCAGCAGTATCCTTTACCTGACTGGTCAGACCACCAGCCAGTCCTTCCAGTCCCCCGGCAGACCCGGAAGCCTGCGACTGTGTCTCTTCAGGAGCATTGCGCTGCTCACCCTGAACAGTCTTACGTGGTTTCGGGGATGGAGTAGCCGGTTCTTCGGGGACGTCTTCTTCGATCGGCTTGCGGCTCCGGACTTGGAGCTTCTGGGGTGTTCTTTTAGAGGGACTCTGTTCAGGGACATGTCCGGCGCTGGAGCCGGATCCGGCTCGCAGCTTTCGAGGAGTGCCAGTTGCTCTTTGCACAGTGGGAGACGACATGTTTGGTTCTGGGGTAGGGTATGTTGGTGGTCGTATCCTGAAGGGTGTCTTCAGCGGTGAGAAGGGCGATGTGAGTTGCTGTCCTATCTTGGGAGGTTTAATAGGGTAATTAGATTATGGGTTAAAGTAGGTATAGTATTCGTTAAAGCTCGTGAATTGTGTGGATCGTTATAATCATGAAAGAATTGCGGATACTACAACCCCGATACTGAGCGTTTGTGCTATTAAATAACTTCAACAGAGGCCTGGATACAAGATATCATAGATCCACATACGTCATGTCTATCGGCGTTAGAGATCCATATACGTCATGTTGGGCCTATAGGTCAATGGTACTGGAACTTCAGTATACTTGGAGAGTTTTCTTGACATAAGGTTTGAGGTATGGTGAACGAGGTGTGGAAGGGATATGTCTAGATGTTTCTCTACTCTAGAAAGTCCACGTTTGTCCTCCAGACTCTACTATATTCTGCTAGACATTAAGATCTTAGTATAGCATCTACAGAAGAATATATTGAAAAGTTGTTCGCAAAATAGGAATGGACTCTCCAGCGTCAGATACTAAGTTTCTAGCCTGCTAAGCTGTGATACTTATGTTCGCCCGGACCTCGCCACAATTTACGTCAGTCAGTTGACAGACAGAAATGAGAGATCAAAATAAGAAGACCATGGGAATTAACCTTGAGGTGCTAGTCCTTCCTAGAGTATATTAAAATAGTTCCGATACGCCTCCCTCTAGGCTATCCAGACCTACAGTCTTATACACAGTACACAGTATTTCATTCAATTCACAGATAATACTCCAATGGCACCGTCCTCGATCAAACCCCGCAAGCAAAACAGCTGTGTAGTACTATGTAAATACCCTACTGTTTTACGTAGCAGAACCAGTACCTGCTGAGCCAGCGAAACCCTACCCATGGGTCCAGACGCGACCACACGGAACTGAAACCCACTTCACGTCATCCAAATCAATACGTCAATCCGATCATGCAACCACTGCGCGATCGGCCAATCCACAGTTTTGGAAGAGTGAACAGTAAAGATCGACATGGTATTAACGGCGTGGCAGACAGTGTGGGCTTGTAAATTCTCCGATTGGAGGCGTGCAGGGGTGGGTATGATCTCATCCGGCGCTTGGAGGGTTAAGAGACAGGAATGCCGGGATTCAGAGGCGTGGTTATCCACTTGTCTTTGTCAGGAGGGGTGGGGCTTTTCTTTCTTTGTGGAGATTCTTGGGATATCCCGTGTCCTGTGTAAAATAAACTACGTATCCAAATCATTAGGGTTGGAGTGTCATGCAGTACAACATGCAAATCAAGTCCATCACTATCTACAGATTCAATAGATTCGGATTTCCCCGCGGATTGACGCAATAGTGACACTAGCACGGTTCTTCTTCTAGGAATTAATCAATGTCTGACAGCGAAAACATGGTGGGTCCGGCTCCAGATCCTATCATTCAATCTCTTTTAACCTGCCACGATGACGATTGCCAGGATGTGAAAAATATATATATTCTAGACTTAGAGTGTTAAAATCATGTCACATAGCACCAACTGGCCCCTGTAGCGCAATGGTAGCGCGTGAGACTTCTAATCT